TGTAGTCCTAGATTTTGCAAAAATTATACTTAGACAGATTATAATCTGTCATCTTCCTTTTGTTTATCCACACTAATAATAGCCTTTCTGCCTCATCTAACACTGTTGAGCTGATTTACTACTTTAAGTAACATTTTCACCAACACTAGCTTCCCTATATACATCTTTTCTCTATAAGATTGTTAAGATGGTGGATTTTTTTTTTCTTTTTTTTTTCTGTGCAGGGTCTCACTACGTAGGTTGTAGCGATCCTCCTGATTTCTACCTCCCCATGGCTGGGACTGCAGGTGCGCGCCACCACACCCAGACTCCATCGCCCGCTCAGCGCGCCCGAGGGCAGGGCCGGCGCGGCAACCAGCGCCAGGGATCAAACCCTGGTCCCAGCACTTTGTTGAGCAAGCGCTTAGTCTGCTGAGCTATACTGCCAGCCCTCTTTTTCTTTCTTTCTTTCTTTTTTTTTTTTTTTTTCAGAACCGGGGATTGAACTCAGGCCCTTGTGCTTGCCAGGGAAGTGCTTATTCCACTGAGCCATCTGGTGGATTTTGACAAGCTGTATGTATTAGCTAGAGGGGTCACTGGAATGGCCATTCTCATATTTCTTCACAATTTCCTCCTCCTTTTCCATTGTAACTGCTTTTTTAGCCTTCCCTTCCATTCTTAGCTTCTTTTCTAGCTTTCCTGGGGTCCATTTGATAGCAGTAATGGTAGAGATTATATAAAGTACTTGCAGAAATCATATCCACAAACACATGCATCTGTGCTGAGACTAACACGTACACTTATATATGGTTTTCTGGCATCACAAGCCTCTGTTTACAAAACTGCATAAGCAATCATCATTCTGGTCACAGCTCAAGACTTTGGTCATATGTTAAACCTCACATTCCAGTCATAACCCAAGGGTCTCCTCTTTGTGATCCCTATGGTAACCACCAGAACAGTTGCCATAGAAAATACATAAAGGAAATGAGAAATAAATTTAAAAGTTTCACTATAAAAATTAAATATAAAAGGAGAGAAATATAGGGAATGAACAAAAATAAAAACCAAATCAAATAAAAACTAAAAAATCACAAAACAAAATAGAGAACAGGAGTGGTCCTGCTCACCTGCTTTTTTTCAGGTGCCTTTGTCCTCATGCAAAGAGGCAAAATGCATATACAGAAAATAGATTGCAACACAACAGAAGTC